ATCAGGAAACAGGAACGGGAGGAAAAGACGGCCAAGAGAGACAGTAGCGGGAGTAGAGTAGCGGGCCTTAATCGCAGTGAGGTACGCAGCAGCGGTGCGAACCTGAGTGAAGTGGACCTCCTCTGACTCAGGGAGGAGGCTGCTGAGTGCGATGCAGGCCGCAGCGTCACGCGACGTCCAAGCCGTCCTGTCAGCGCGCTGACGGGCAAAGCGAGCCGTAGCAGCATCGTCAGGGGCAGGACCTAAAGCGGCAGGCTCGGGGGGCTCGGGGAGGTCACCAGTAGCGTGCGACCAGAGGGTCTCGCCCCCCTGGACTTGACTCTCTAACAGACGGCGAGCGCGAAGAAGCCAGACGGAAAAGTCAAGAGGTCTACCGTCAGCGTCGAAACGAAGAACTCGCGGAGTCGCCATAGCGAGAACTAACGCGAACGAGCAGGCGAGTAACAGCAGGAGGTAAGAGGCAAATTAGGGTTCAGGTGGGGGGGGGGGGGACTTAGTCGCAGCGGAAGAACGGGCTAGGGCGACGGGCCAGGGCGTAGGGTCGACGGGACGGGGGAAAGGGCGGGCGCGATGCGACGGGGCAGGGCGACGCGACGGGGCAGGGCGACGCGACGGGGCAGGGCGACGGGACGGGGAAGGGCGACGCGACGGGGCAGGGCGACGCGACGGGGCAGGGCGACGGGACGGGGCAGGGCGACGGGACGGGGCAGGGCGACGTGACGGGGGGAAAGGGCGCGACGCGACGGGGGGAAAGGGACGCGACGAGGGGGAAAGGGCGCGACGCGACGGGGGGAAAGGGCGCGACTCGACTGGGGGGAAAGGGCGCGACGCGACGGGGGGAAAGGGACGCGACGAGGGGGAAAGGGCGGGCAGGACGCGACGCTAGGAGTGGCGCTAGGCGCGGCACTACGCGCGGTAACAACGGAACCGGGACGAATGAGAGCTAGGATCAGGCTCGGGAGGCTCGAACGGAGAACGGAGGAACGGGATCCCACAGGATCCTAACCTAACTGATACCATGTCAAAATGAAGAATGGATGATGCATTGATGTTGGTTGGGGTACATATAGCTAACCCTAAGTTTTGTACCCCCTAAGACAAACCTCACTATAGGCTACAACATTTGACACGCCCCTCACCCAGGGTTGTCCGTCCCTCACCTCCTCCGTAAATGTCTAAAAGCTTTCAATGCTGATGTCTTGGAAGACAGGTACTCCGTCACATTGTACACCAGTCCCGAGTTGCCCGCTCCTCGCCGCACCAAACGTCGGAACTTAGGCTTGGGTGCCACTGTCCATTGTCCACTGCGTGCTCACCTGGGCATGGGGACATATGGATTCCCTGGGTTTAGGTATGCACACGGTCAAACACCTCCCACGTTTTCTCCTCACAGCGTTTGTCCACCGTCCAACGAGTGCTCACCTGGGCACGGGTGTGGGTTTTAGTGGGGTTGAATGGGTGCAGGTGTGGTTGAGGGTGTGGTGTAGGTGTGGGTGCGAGTGCGGGTGTGGGTGTGGGTGTGGGTAGGGTAAAATGGATGTGGGTAGGATTGAATGGGTGTGGTTAGATCACCCAAGAACTGGTGCCTGAAACACCTCTCTCGCCTTCTCTTCACTCCGCTCTTGCACCGTCCATCTATGCTCACCTCACATGCGGGATACAGAATGGTATGTGCTGGGAGTTGTGTTGAGAGTCGGGTTGAAAATTGGGATCTGGGTTGGGATGGGAATGGGGGTGTAGGTTGTGGGTGCAAATTCTGTTAGGCTGGATAATACCAGGTTTGGTTCGATTAAGGGTGTAAACAAATACCACTATATTCATATTAGTAATCGATATTCGACAAATATCAAATACAAACCAAATACAAATGCCCCTTACTATTCGAAAGTATTCGACGTTCAAGTATTCGAGTATTCGGTTCAAATAACCGGTTATTTGAATACATATTTGATTCGCTTTTAAGTTACCGAACCACTCAAACCAGCTGCTATTACTCATGAAATCTTGAGTAAACAATACGAAGGACTCTACAGAACGGCCATCAGAGCCATGCTAGCTGAGCAAGGGGCCCATGAGTAAGCCTAAAGGGGGGTTGATGATACTTTAGTATGCGAATTGGCCCAAGATCACGCCGCGACTATCGTCAGCGACGGGTGCGAAAATAACTTTTTGCGATTCTTTCGTAAATGCCTGAACTGTGCCCGCTGGCGTAGGCTGGGTAACCACACGCTACGGGAAATCTCGGGCACCTGCGTGGCATGCGGGCAGAGCGAGGAGCATCTCCTGAATTGATCCAACCTGGCGCGAATACGCGCCACGGAGCGAAAATGTCTCACTCTCGTCCCAGATAGGGGACCATCTCCCGCAAACCCTTACGTAAGAGCGGCATCACCAATTCCCACAGACATCAGCAACAAATCACTTGAAACAGTCACGCACATTCCCCACACGACTTTCCCACTCAAATCGGCAAAACCTGCGGCGCGATAACATTGACGAACGCGGATGAGAATATCGCATCATCGTTCGCAACGCCTGCGAAACATGCGCAAAGGAAACTCCCACTCTCTCACATTGGATTCGACCTGGGCGGGGAATATGCCTGTCCCGCCGAGGCGCTAGTCTCCTTCCTCCTCTTGCCGCCCACTCACACTCCTGCGTGAACCTCGCTGCTGTTCGACAAAATCCTGCTCAGCGGATATGCTCATCTGGACAAGTGCCTGGCTTCAATTTGCGTTATCTCTTGGCTACAGATTGCACGCTTGCGAAACGTGCACAGCGCGCGGTTCCCCGTTGAACGCACAACTTGAAGGGAGCTCATGTGAGAGCCGCTCTCCCTTCACCTGGCAAGACGAAACCATCTCATAGAAGACTCACTCCCGCTCCTATAAAACAGGCTTAAAAGGACCTTCGTATCCCAAACGAAGGTTAGGCGTGAAGCGTTGGATATTTTAGTCAATAACGAATAGTTTTCTTCGCATGTGTCTCACACACCTCGCATTCTCGTTTTAGTCAATTCCCATTCTTCACGAGCTTCCCAGCCAGCCACTCCGTTCTGCTCCTGTTCACCTGCTATTCTCCTCTCACGGCGGTTACTTTTTTTGCGAGTCGGGATCAATTCCTTTGCCACTTATGGCTCGGACAAAGCAAGGCGTTGCAACGGCGGTGCTGCCGGTGCTTCTGCTTCTGCTGCTCTCGATGTCAGCATCGTACGTCGCGGCTGGTAAGCTCCGCATATACTTTTGAGGCGCCTCAAAACCGGTGCTTCTGCTTCTACTGCTCTCGATGTCAGCATCGTACGTCGCGGCTGGTAAGCTCCGCATATACTTTTGAGGCGCCTCAAAACCGGTGCTTCTGCTTCTACTGCTCTCGATGTCAGCATCGTACGTCGCGGCTGGTAAGCTCCGCATATACTTTTGAGGCGCCTCAAAACCGGTTCTTCTGCTTCTACTGCTCTCGATGTCAGCATCGTACGTCGCGGCTAGTAAGCTCCGCATCTACTCGTATCATGGCGAATCCCGTTGAAATTCGTCAAAATCGTTGATACTTGGGTGAAGTATCTGTACCGCGTCGATATCTATCGTGCTGCATTCGGTTACCGCTACTTCTGGTACTACAGTAGTCTACTCGACCTAATAAGCCCTTCTGTTGTTCTCCTTGCAGCAGCATCCGCGGGATTCATCGCCACGCGGCGCATTCTGGGGGGAGGCACTGTGTATCACCTTCAGAAATCCGTTGAGTCGACCCCAACGGCCGTGAAATTGACAGTCAAGACCACCCCAGTCACCGCGACGACCCACCCAACCACGACCACGATCGACATGGCGGCTACGACCCAGCCAACCATCACCCCGAATCTGAAATTGGAAACCACGACCACCCGAAAAAATGTCACGACCAACACAACCACCACGTCCATGTTAGACTCCGTATGGAAACACATGGAGGAGATGGGACTCCGATAGGACTCAGAGTCCTGGACCCCGCTCCTTTTGAGTCGTATGGAAACACATGGAGGAGATGGGACTCCGATAGGATTTTTGAGGCGTCTAAAAAATCACCTCGATGTTAAGCTCCGTATGGAAACACAAGGAGGAGATGGGACTCAATAAGGAGTCCTGGACCCCGCCTCTTCCCCCCTCTTCCCCTTCCTCCGATTTCAGCTTGAGATGATGTCTGGTGGTTGATCGATTTAGGGGCTCGCTGTAAGTCTTACGGCGAGCCTCACTCACGCATTTGAGAGCTGATTTGTGTGTGTTGTGAACTTATGAGATGATTCGTTCTGGTACGTACGTCTGTTCTAATGCGCGTTAAAAGAAAATTTCCATTAACATGTTCACTAGTTTGGTAGTGACACTCACATTTGATGCCATAATCAGACAGCGTGTATAAAGGAATGCAGATGTGATTCTGACACCCGCTTGAACAAACAAAAGCCTACGCACACATCCACAGACACTGGTACTTTCCCTACATACCATCTGAGCTTTGAAGCTTTAGCTTATCGCTTAGAGGGTTCAATCTCCTATCTCTTAGCTTATGCAAAGTACTACGTAGTATTGCATTGCAAGATAGTGTACTTGGGCAAGGGCGCGTTTTGCCTGCCAACTAACTGCACTTGGTTGCATATCGTTCCCACTGTAGGGATGCGCTACTCATATGCATCTTCTGCAGCACATTATATGCTTATTTTCCAACCAAACGAGGTTCCTAGCTCCACGCATTGAGGCACTGCAGTGTAGGACAATCTACATCCCTCTATGGCCAGCGGGGGGTGGTACCGGTTGCCCCCAGTGTAGGACAATATATATACCCCTCTGAGGCACTTCAGGATAAACCCTTCCTGGTTGCAGCCTCGCCTTCAGACATGGAAAGGGGGTGGTTTGGCTGCTGCTAGTGCGCTGTACTTTCGAGGCACCTCAAAGCTGTTCAAATGTGGACAGGGGGTGGTGGTTTCGCTGCTGCTAGTGAGCTGTATTCCCGAGGCGCCTCAGAAGTTTTCAGATCTGGAAAGGCGGTGGTGGTTTGGCTGCTGCTAGTGAGCTGTACTTTGGTAGCCCCCATGCTCGTGCCATGGTTTGCTGCCACACCCTGCAGGTTGATCAGGGGTGGGGGAGTGGGTGTGTGGGGTGAAGGATGAAAGAGGAGCTCCTGGTAAGCAGGAGCTGCTGCTAGTGAGATGTGCTTTGGTAGTCCCCAAGCTCGCGCCATGGTTTGCTGCCACACCCTGCAGGTTGATCGGCGGGTGGTAGGGTTGAGGTTGGGGTTGGGGTTGAGGTTGGGGGTGGGCGTGGGGTTGAGGGGGAAATTAGGGGAGAGGAGCTCTTGGTAAGCAGGAGCTGCAGCTAGTGAGCTGTGCTTTGGTAGCCCCCGAATCCTTGCCATTGCTTGCTGCCATTCCCTGCAGATAAACTGGGAGGGGGATGAAAGGGATGGGGGTGGGGGTGGGGGGAGGAAAAGGGGGGAGGGAGGAGATCTTGGTAAGCAGAAGTGGCTGCAGCAGACGCTCATGTCAGCGCAGAGGTGGTCAAGAAGACAGACTTCTGAATTGTTCTTCTGCACAGCTCACCTTAACCCGTCTCAAGACGTCTCAAACAGACGTCTCCCATGTTCTTCTGCACAGCTCACCTTCACCTTCGGATCCAGTGTGAGCACTTTGGAGGCGCCTCAGAGGTGGTTGGACAAACGGACTTCACAGCCATGTTCTTCTGCACAGCTCACCTTGACCCTCGTTTGAGACGTCTCAAAAATGGTTGGACAAACAGGCCTCTGCCGTGTTTTGCACAGCTCACCTAACCTTCGGATCTAGTGTGAGCAGCCCAGTTTCCACACCCATGTCATCCCACACCCCATGCTGTCACCTCAACACACACCCTCCAGTCTTCCACCCAAGGTTCAGCAGCTCTATCTGCCAAGGCCCAGTCACTGCTGCATGCCCAGTGACCGCTGCAGTGCGACCAGCTGCCGCTCCAACTGCCAGGCAACCCACTCACTCTCGCACACCCATGCCCATGCCATCCCGCTAACCCACCCATGCTGTCACCTCCAGCTCACCTCCAGTCCTCTTCTATGTCCTTGGGGTCCAGGTTGAGCAGCTCTATCTGCACGCCCAGCGACTGCTGCTACGCGACCAGCTGCCAGGCAACCCACTCACTCACCTCTCCGCACCCATGCAGTCTGACTCACACACCCGTGCTATCAGGACAACACGCACCTCCAGTCCTCCACCATGTCTTTCGGGTCCAGGGTTTAGGGTTTAGGGTCATGTCTATCTGCACGCCCATGCCATCCCATCCCCATAGGTCTCACTTCTCTGACCGTGTCGTCTCACCTCCAGTCCTCCACCATGTCTTTCGGGTCCAGGTTCAGCAGCTCTATCTGCACGCCCAGCGACTGCTGCAACGCGTCCAGCTGCCGCTCCAACTGCCGTGTGGGCAGGCGGATGGGCATGGCGATGACCCCCTCCATCAGGAACAGCATGGTGCCTCCAAATGGCGCCTGGATGGGGGGCGGAAGGGGAAGAGGCATGGGACATGGGAAGGGGAAAGGCAGGCGGATGGGCATGGCGATGACCCCCTCCATCAGGAACAGCATGGTGCATCCGAATAGCGTGGACGAAATAATAATAGGAGGCACCATGCGGCAAGGAGGCGGAATGGCAGGAGATCGTACACAGTGAGAGGCAGGCGGATGGGCATGGCAACCCCGATTTATATCTCGATGTTGAGGTTCCCTTCCCACGCCAGGGGAACCGAGAGGTATTCAGTCTCACATTGCACACCAAACCCGAGTTGTCGGCCCCACGCAGCACAACCACCACCTACGTGAGCACTACCAGGCCTTTTCCTCATGTTACCTCCTGCGTGAATGTCTCCAGGTTATCAATGCTGATATTCTTTGACGAAAGTTACTCTGTCACGTTGTACACGAGCCCCGGGCTGTCCGCTCCGCTCCACTCCACTCCACTCCACACCACACCACCACCCACGGGAGCAACTCAAGAAGTTTCCTCACCTCTTCTGTGAATGTTTCCAAGTTCTAAATATTGATGTTCTTAGAAGACAGGTACTCCGGCACGTTGGAAACATTCCCGGCACGTTGTAGACGAGCCCCGGGTTGTCCAGCCCCTTACTTTCAGCTGCAGCCACGCACCCATACCTCCCCCGCGACCACCCAACCCAGCATTCCCTCACCTCCTCGGTGAATGTCTCCAGGTTTTCGATGTTGATGTTTTTAGACGACAGGTACTCAGTCACGTTGTACACGAGCCCGGGGTTGTCCGCCCCATTGCACCACCAACCACAAGAGCAACACAGGGCATTCCTCCTCACCTCTTCTGTGAACGTCTCCAGGTTTTCAATGTTGATGTTCTTGGAAGACAAGTACTCAGTCACATTGTACACGAGCCCGGGGTTGTCGGCTCCTCGCAGCACCAGCCGCCGGAACTTGCGCTTTGGTGCCGTCTCCTCACTGCGCTCGTCCACCGTCCACCGCGTGCTTACCTGGGCATGACGGTGGGGTGGGTGTTGGTGTGGGTGTGGTTGTGGGTGTGGGTGTGGGTAGGGTTGAGCGGGTGTGGGTATGCACATAATCAGACACATCTCCTGGTCTCTCCTCACTGCGCTCGTCCACCGTCCACCGCGTGCTCACCTGCACATGCGGGCAAGTGGGGCATCGGGCTCATGTGTAAACACACGGTCAAGCACATCTTGCTCGGTCACATTGTGCGCACGAGCCTTCAGCATTTCTCTCCTCACTGCAGCACCGGCCTTCGGAACTTCTGCTTTGGAGCATTCGTCTCACTGTGGGCCACCGTCCACTGCGTGCTCACCTGGGCATGGGGCCATGAGGGTACGGGGTTACATTCACATATGGGATGGGAGGTCAAACACCTCCCACGTAGTCTCCTCACTGCGCTCATCCACTGTCCATCGCGTGCTCACCTGCACACGGGGGCATGGGGGCATGTGCGGGCACGTGAGAATGTGAGACTTCAAGCGCTTGCTGCCTCCTGTGCATGGCCATGGTATGGTATAAGGTGGGAGTTGGGGAGGAAAATTTGCGGTGTGGCTGTAAGTTGAAGTTCGGCTGGGATGGGTACTCGCAGGTTTGGTCCGGTGCACTTTTCATTCCCCACCCTTGCCCTCTTCTGCACCCCTCACCTTCCCTCTCTTCTGCAGTCCTCCCCACCCCTCCCTCTCTCGTGCACCCCTCCCCACCCGTCCCTCTCACCTGCAACCCTTGAACTTCCAGCAGCTTCAGCCGAAGGTCCTCCGCTATCCGTGGCGACCTGAAGGAGGAGATGGGGGGCAGGCAGGCGAGAGGCCAGCATGAGTTCACGAGAGAGGCGAGCGCATGGGCCGACGATGCGCTGTTATTGGGCCGAAACGAGGCGTTGTTATTGGGGTGGTGGGGGGGGGGGGGGGGGGGCGGTTGGGTCTCAAGACGCATGCAAGGTACTCAAGACACTCAAGGCATTAAAAAATGCCAGCGCAAGCAGCGCACTCGCGTGGCGTCCACGGGAATGAGCATGATGATGGACAAGTCCCCCGCCAGACGCGCCACTCTTCACATTACGCTCCATTCAGAGAGAGGCCAGACAGGGCTCTCAGCGGCGCAGTCAACGCAGTCAACGCGGTCAACGCGCGCAGTGCACTCACGTGGCGTCGACGCGGATGAGCATGACGATGGAGAAGTCCCCCGCCAGTCTTGCCAAACTCAACTCTCTTCACATTTCCCCACACTCTAGCGTGGAACCAGGCACGCAAGGCACTCAGCACACTCAAGGGACTCACGTGGCGTCGACGCGGATGAGCATGATGATGGAGAAGTCCCCCGCCAGCCGCGCCATGCGGCTCTCCTCCACGTTCCCGCCGCACTCCAGAATCCGCTTCGCCAGCGTCGACACGATGCCCAGCCTGTCCGGGCCCGAAGCTGTTACCACCAGATGACGTTCGGAGGGCGCGGCTGATGAACGGTTTAAGGGGAAGGGGAGGGGGGAAAAGAGGCGCGGGTGAGCGGACAGATCACCTGCCGTGCGGCTCTCTCTCCTCCCGCTTCGCCAGCGTCGACACGATGCCCAGCCTGTTCGGGCCCGACGCTGTTTACCACCAAATGCCGCTCGGCTGGCGCGGCTGTAGGGCGGTTAAATGGAAAGGCGGTGTGGATGAGGGGGGATAACGTTTGCCATGCGGCTCTCTCTCCCCCGCTTCGCCAGCGTCGACACGATGCCCAGCCTGTCCGGGCCCGTGGCAGTCACCACCAAGTGCCGCTCGGAGGGAGTGGCTGGCGGGCGGTTGAAGGGGATTGAGAGCGGGGGGGGAGGAAGAGGGGGAGGGGGAAGGGGAAGGAGGGGCGGGGGGGCGTGTGCGGATAAGGAGGAGGATCAATTGCCGTGCGGCTCCCTTCCTCCTTCGCCAGCGTCGACACTATTCCCAGCCTGTCCGGACCTGACGCAGTCACCACCAAGTGCCGCTCGGGGGGCGCGGCTGGCGGTCGGTTGACGGGAGGGGAAAAAGGAGTGTGGATGAGGGGAATGCGGCTCATGCGGCTCGACACGAAGCCTAGCCTGTCCGGCTCTGATTCCGTCACCACCAAATGCCGCCCGGAACGAAATTTGCGACCTCCGAGAGGATCGAGGAAAGAGCCATTCCCCATTGCCGCTCTCCTCGACGTTGCCTCCAGACCTACTTCGATATTCACTTCGCCGATGCTTACACCATACAGGTTGAGTCTCATGTATCAACCATGGGTCTTATATAAACGTTTGCGAGTACACTAATAGCTTCAATCCTCGGGTCTTATGATGCCAATCTTCACCCTCGATTGACTTCAGTCAACGGGATATCCGTCACGCGTCGACACTCACCAGTGTCCTTGGATCGACTCGCTATGTCTTGCCAGAACGCGTCGCTCCCATTTCTAAATCCGCGACACGCTTCTCTCAGCTGCTTCGAGACTACTACGGCTGCCGCCGAGCTGCCACGTGTCGCAATGAGACGCCGAAGCGCTAGCATGACCGCTCTGTTGCCACCACTACTGATAAATGTTGAAGCGCCAATGCGCTATGAGGAAATGATACAGGTTGTTGATCAGGTGAAGGACTAGCGCACGAATTTCACAATGTGATCGTTCGATCAGCTGGCAACGTAATTTCTAAAGGCTGAAAGGAAAAGGAGGCTGACGCGGATGTGACAGGCGTTGCGTGTACGACCGTTTCTTCACCGATATTATACTAGGATCCCTAAGACAAGGGGGCCGTCACGGGAAGAATCAAAACATATAGTATTGTAGAATCACTCTTGGTAACGATGATGAGGGATAGGAGGCTCGGCTCTGGAGGAAAGCAAGGATGAGCAATGGCTTCACTATTGCGAGTCTACGAGGCGTAGTGGAGTAGAGGGGATTGTCTGGAGGAGAGGTAAAGATGACAAGTTATGACTGACGGGGTGGGGGATGGATGGCAAGGTTAAAACGGAATACTTACCCTTATATATTCGCTATTAGACATAAGACTGATCTGTAACCCGACCCAGACTTTTCACACTTAGAGGTTGAGCGTGGTGTGTTCTCATTTGTTACTAGGACACTTATGTAAGACGTTGCTTAAGTGAGGCACTCAGTGTACACAAATAAAATCTGCATTCTTTTTTTCCTTTTCCGTCTTGTTGAGAGGTTTCTGAGCCTGGTTTTTACGAGAAAAGCTCTAGATATGCCCGTTGGGTGGGACCACAGTAGATATCCGTTCAACGCCATTCGTGGTGCGCCTTGCGTTGCGTGATATTGGTGACGGGGACGTCACGAAAGCCGCGTCATGGCAGCCTGACATCGAGGCTTTCCGGCTTCCAGAAGGATTTCCTTTTCGTCCTTCAAAGGGCTGCCCCTGTGCCCCAGCCTCGAAGCCGCTTGTGCGCCCACGCGGTCCGGTATATTCGTTTCCCGCCATTAATTCCAAAAGCAACCTCGTTATTGGTACAATACATTGAAATGACAGTCAAGATGCCTGCTACGATGGATTCAACCAATATCGCGCTTATGACTGTATCAGAAGATAAAGTGTATTCAGGCAAGATGCTGGAACCTGAATATGCTAGGCACTGCTGAAAGCCATGATGATGAAGCTACAGTCGGTTCAGCTTACTGGGATAAGATCATACACACGAGCTGCCAACACCAAACGACCTGCTAGTCAGGAATGAAACTTGAACTGAACCCTCATGGACTGGCTCGGCTTTGCAATAAATAAATCAATAAAATAATTGAAGTGAAACCACAAAGCTGCCATCAAACAGCATTAGTGAATGCTCTTACTGTGTCAGTTAACTTCAACATCAAGCTTCAACATCAACAGGCAGTGAAGAGCTGCGCACGTGTCCCAATCCGCGTTGGTGATTAATGCGCTTTAGCAGCTGTGAGAGCAGCTTCGGGTCGACAGGCTTCTGCAGAACGCCATCAAAGCCACTCGCAAGGCAGCTCTGAGAGATCTCATCATCCACATCGGCTGTGAGCGCCACAATGAGGAGCCGAGGCACGGAGGGGACTGGGGGAACAGCGCCATTGCCCCATTCTGAATTTTCTGCTACTGATGCTTCTGCTGCTGACGCAGATCGAAGCGACATGGCGGTCTCATGTGCGCGTATGGCCTCTGTTGCAGCAAAGCTGGGATGCAAGGAGGGAGGTGGGAACAGTGGGCCTGAGGACGGGCATACAGCTGACCAGCATCGTACGAAAGACCAAATATTATTGGTAGTGCCAAACATATTATTACTGTTACTACTCTTACAATAATAATGAAATATTATTATGACTCACCCGTCCATGAGGGGCATCTGCAGGTCCATGAGCACCACATCCACACATGCGTCCGCTGCCGCTGCAGTGTCCCCCAGAGCATGCTGCTTGACTCGCCGCAGCGCCTCCTCCCCGCTGGCAGCGGTGGCGACGGTGGCGCCGCTGCGAGCGAGAGTGCGGCGCGCCACCAGCAGATTCACCAAAGCATCGTCCACCACCAGCACGCTCAACCCCTGTAGCAACCCCCCACCCTTCTGCACCCCCGCACCCTGCTGCACCGCACTCAAACCCTTGCCTCCCTTGCCTGGCTGTGATCTCCCACTCCCTTGCAGCACCTCACTGCCCTTCTGCAGGGCTGCATCCATCTCTCGGGGTGAATGGTCAGCACCGGGTGATGGTGTTGCCACACTGCCCTGCGCCACCCGCATCCCCTGCTGCGTTCCCTCTGCTGCTTCAACTGCTGCTGCCTCTCTACCGCTCCTGAAGCTGCTGCTTTGGCTGCTGGAAGCATCATCATCTGGCGCTGGACCTGCACCATCAGCTCCCGCCCTTGCCATGAAGCTCGCACCCTCATCCTTCCGTGCCGCTCGCATCCTTCCGGTTGCACTCTGTGCGACTTGACTCTCACCTCCCAGTGCCTCTCCATTGCTCATCCTGGTAACCCTGTTGTACCCGTTACTCAAGATCGCAGCATCCAGTGCACTACTCCCCTGCTGTGTGCTGTCCCTCTGCTGCTCTCTCTCCCTCTGCTGATCCTCCTCACTGCCCTGTCCAAATGCTGCCATCTGGATTGAACAGCGATGGTCAGGGATAGGAGGGGCATGGGAGGGCCATGGAGGGGCACAGGAAGGGCATTGGTGGGATGGAAAGGATGTAAGGGAGTGCCAAGAGTAGAGAGGGCGTTGAAACCAGAACGGCAGAGGGAGAGAAGGGTAACCGGGGCTCTAACAGATGGCGACAGAAACGTGATAGCAAAAAGGCTCACCTGATGCCAACAGAGGCTCACCTGATGCCAACAGAGGTTCACCTGATGCCAACAGAGGCTCACCTGATGCCAACAGAGGCTCACCTGATGCCAACAGAGGCTCACCTGATGCCAACAGAGGCTCACCTGATGCCAACAGAGGCTCACCTGATGCCAACAGAGGCTCACCTGATGCCAACAGAGGCTCACCTGATGCCAACAGAGGCTCACCTGATGCCAACAGAGGCTCACCTGATGGCAACAGAGGCTCACCTGATGGCAACAGAGGCTCACCTGACGCCAAAAGTGGTTCATCTGATGTCAAACAGAGACACACCTGAACAGCTTGGTGCAAATGGTGAGAGAGCAGCGGGCGGCGAAAGATGACCACCCGAGGAGAGATGGCAGCAGAGGCAGGAGCAGCGGAAGGAGCAGTGGAAGGAGCAGCGGAAGGAGCAGCGGAAGGAGCAGCGGAAGGAGCAGCGGAAGGAGCAGCGGAAGGAGCAGCGGAAGGAGCAGCGGAAGGAGCAGCGGAAGGAGCAGCGGAAGGAGCAGCGGAAGGAGCAGCGGAAGGAGCAGCGGGAGGAGCAGAGGAAGGAGCAGCGGAAGGAGCAGAGGAAGGAGCAGCGGAAGGAGCAGAGGAAGGAGCAGCGGAAGGAGCAGAGGAAGGAGCAGCGGAAGGAGCAGCGGAAGGAGCAGAGGAAGGAGCAGCGGAAGGAGCAGAGGAAGGAGCAGCGGAAGGAGCAGAGGAAGGAGCAGCGGAAGGAGCAGAGGAAGGAGCAGCGGAAGGAGCAGAGGAAGGAGCACCAGAAGGAGCAGAGGAAGGAGCAGCGGAAGGAGCAGCGGAAGGAGCAGAGGAAGGAGCAGAGGAAGGAGCAGCGGAAGGAGCAGCGGAAGGAGCAGAGGAAGGAGCAGCGGAAGGAGCAGCGGAAGGAGCAGAGGAAGGAGCAGCGGAAGGAGCAGAGGAAGGAGCAGCGGAAGGAGCAGCGGAAGGAGCAGCGGAAGGAGCAGAGGAAGGAGCAGCGGAAGGAGCAGAGGAAGGAGCAGCGGAAGGAGCAGAGGAAGGAGCAGCGGAAGGAGCAGAGGAAGGAGCAGAGGCAAAGGTAGGCTCCGCGGAGGAGGGAGTAGCAATAGCAGCTGTAGCTGATGATCGTTGCATCTGCAAGTGCAGTTGATCACCTCCTCGTGCTCTTCTCTGAGGTGACTTCTGAGTCGACTCAAAAGTCACCTCTTGCATCTGCGAGTGCAGTTGATAACCTCCTCGTGCTCTTCTCCCTCCCACACTCTCACCACCTTGCTTCTCTTTCCCCTCTTCCCCACTTCTGTGCCCCTCCACCTCCTCTCCCTCCGCCTCCTCTCCCTCCACCTCCTCTCCCTCCACCTCCTCTCCCTCCACCTCCTCTCCCTCCCCTTCCTCTACCTTCTCTCCCTCCACAACCTCTTCCACCCCCTCATACCCATCCCCCATCGCCTCTCTAACACCGCAGGCCGTCAGAACGACCACACCCACCACCAGAGCACCACGTTCCATCCCGTCCACCCCTCTTACTGCCCGCACGCCTGCCTGCCACACTGCTGCCTCCCATCTGCCTGCCTCCACACTGCTACAAGCTACCTCCCCTCCTCTGCTGCCTGCCCCTGCTGCAACCACCAGCACCACCGCAGGCATTCCCTTGCCCCACGCCACACCCTCCTTGCTCCCGAGCCCATCCCCCCTCCACCACCCATCTCCACCACACTTCTGACCACTCCCACCACTCTCGCATTCACCGTATGGATCAGTCTCTCCTGTCCCCCTCCTGTTCCCTCTCAACAGGTCCTCCTCCTCTACCACCAACACCCAAGGGGCACATTCTCTCACCACCTTTCTTCCCTCAATTCCCTCTCCTTCTCCCTCACAACTACTCCTCACTCCTTCTGACCACAACCCCTCGGCTCTCTCTTCTTCTCCCTCGGCACTCTCTCCTTCATCTTCTCTATCTCGCTGTGGCTCGCTCCTAGGGGTTGGAAGAATGCGCACTTGTGCCCCGAGACCCGATAGCATGCGAGACGTGAGCTGGAGAGGGTTAAAAGCAGAGGGATTGGGCAAGCATGAGAAGTTTAAAGGATAAAGCTCTCCCTCGCTGTGGCTCGCTCCTAGGGGTTGGAAGGAAGCGCACTTGCACCCCGAGACCCGATAGAATGCGAGACGTGAGCTGGAGAGGGAATGGGGAAGAGGCAAGTATGAAAATTTCGAAAGAATACGCTCGCCAAGATACGAGGAATGGAATAAAAATGGGAAGCATAATACTAATAATAAAAAAAAGGGGTCCAAGAAAGCAAGGAGAGGGAGAGGGAGGGTATGTGCAGCAAGAGAATGAATGAAGCAACTCCCTCCCACACTCCCTCCCGCACCCTCCTGCACCCCCTCCCTCCCTCCACTCCCTCACGCACTCCTACTCACGTTCGCTCTGTCCACTCTCTCCCGCACTCCCGCACACGCCCTCGCACGCATTCTCACTCCCTCCCTCCATTTCCTCAGTGCTCACCTCCCTCTTGACTCTATCAGACGCCATCACACCCACTGCCACTCCGTCCAAACAGCCAGTGAGGGGAGAAGGGAAGTGAGCATCAGGTGCTTGAGAAACCGGAGGATGGGTGATGCGAGAGGGTGCGGCGGGGGGCGACTGAGCCAAGGAGAAGGTGAGGGAGAAGGCAAAGGTTGAGCCGGTGCCGGGATGAGACAGGCAGGCCACATGCCCGCCCATGAGGGTCACCTGGTGGGGGGAGGAGATGCGGTGGAGGGAAGGAGGAGAGGGGCGAGAACGCAGTGAGATGGGTTGATAACATCCTTATTTGTTGCTTGAGCGAGACAAAGCTGGCATGAGGTGCAGTGCAGTGTGAGCTCTTCAAAAGGTCTGAGATGAGTGAAAGGCATGGTGCTGCTCGTCAAGTGGAACATGAGTCGTGGCAAGGGTGATAGAGAAGAGAGAAAACATCAACGGCTCACTTCTTTTCGAGGGTAACCATGGCTCCTGCCAACGGTTCAGATTCATTGTGAATAAAGCTCAGTCGTCATAATTGCCAGTAGAGAGCTATCGAGACGTCTCAAAACTCAGTCTTATTATTGCCAATAAAGAACTGCCAAGAGCCTCAAAGACAGGGGCGACGCAAGGAGTCTACTTTTAAGGCGCCTCAAAACAGGGTGATGGAAGGAGCTCTCACCAGTTGGTGTGTGAGAGCCAGGCCCAGCCCCGCCCCTCCACTCTCCGTCCGCCCCTGAGCAACACAAAGGCGATCAGACAACCAGAGGTGGGCGGGTGACAAGATATCTCTAAAACAATCAGACACCAGAGGTGAGAGGGTGAAATCATATTTCCAAACCAACTAAGCACCACAGAAGTGAGCAGGCGCCCTATGCGTTTGAGTTGACTCGCACAGTCAGACTCCGAAACCTGCCACCACTTGAATTGCACCAACAGCTGTCATTCCTCTCGTACAAAACAACACACCTCACACCCATGGGTACTCATCAATCTACAGGTTTTGTACAACTCAAAAAGCCGCGACCTGAACCCCCCCACCCCGCACCCACCTGCTTAAAAATCCTTCACCGCAGGTACAGTCATCCATGCTTCCTCACCTGCAACTCAAACAGCTCTTCCTGCTTCTCCTCTTCGATACCACACCCACTATCTTCACACGACACAACCACCACCACCTGCATCCTCTCCGTCTCACCCACTCGCTCCTCCACCTCACCTACAGCTAGACATGATTCATCCCCTCCCCAGTTCCTCACCTGCAGCTCAAACAGCCAGTCCTGCTTCTCCTCTTCAATACCACACCCAGTATCTTCACACGACACACCCACCAGTTGAATACCCTCAGTCGCATCCACTCGCCCCCCACCTCACCCACAGGTAGCGATCTTCCATGCTTTCTCACCTGCAACTCAAACAGCCCTTTCTGTTTCTCCTCCCCAATGCCACACCCAGTATCTTCACACGACACCACCAGGAGCATCCCTCCACTCCCCGCACTCCCACCACCGCTGCACCCACTTTCCCGCCGCTGCATCCCCCCACCGCCGGCCCAGCCCTCCTCCGAATCCCCCTCTCCTCCATCCCCCCTGTTGACCCCATTCACTCCCTCAGCCGCCCACAGCCTTATACCAGCCAAGCACCCTCCGACTGCATCAGCAGGCAAGCACCCTCCTGCTGCTGCATCTGCGTCTGCATCACTTTGCGCTGACTGTTCCCCGCCCTCGCTGCTCCCATCAACACTCTGGGCCATTCTCTGATCGCTCCTCTCGTCAAATCTTTGACTGCTACTCTGGTTAATTCTCTCATCACTTCTCTCATCACGTCTCTCATCAATTCTCTGGAAGGTCGACTGGTCCGTGCTATGGTGCGTGCTCTCCTCAGTGCTCTCGTCAGCGCTCTGGCCACACGATGGGCTGCCCTGGCAGGGCGTGCGGAGAGATTTGGTGCAGAGAACCACGGAGGCGATAAGGCGGGCGGGCAGGTGGGCGAGCCAGGAGAGGAGCGATGGAGGGGGAGGGGGAGGCGAGGGCGGGAGCGGGGCGTCCGAGGAACCTGAAGAGGCGGAGTTGGGGAAGGGAAAGACGGCTGGATGTGATGGGGGAGGGGAGGAGTCGGATAAGCAGGGGAAAGAGAGGATAGGACAGTGAGGATCTTGACTGCAAGGAGAAGGGCGAGAGGGGTGAGTCACAAGGTGTATTCTTCATAGGGAGGATGGCACAAGCTCGACTGGTTGTTACGGGAGTAGTACTGACTGAGGTGAGCGAGGGCTTGCTGCAGGGTGGTGGAAGCGGAGCATACAGACACTCGCAGCAATACGTGTCCGCTCCCCGTGTAGCGCACTGCGTTGTCTGGAAGGGAAATGGCATCATGGGAGGGATGGCATGGCATCATGGGAGGCTTCGGGTTTGCTTGACCATGTAGACGGTTCAAGTTGAGTAGGTGCTTATAATCAGTTACCTGGTAACAATTCTGAGCTATATAAACCCTGCCGGTGAGAAATTGGCGTACCAAGCTGAAACTGTGAGTTGTGGGCCCCACCCGTGAACTCTAAAGAGTGTTTTGAGATGTCTCAAAACACTCTAACGAGTATAGAGCAAGAAATTATGAGGTGTGGCATGTCTCTCACCTACTAGTTCTTGCAGTGCCTGTGTGAGTCGCATGGCATCTACCTCCAACTCCTCAGGCACGTTCACATCCACCACTCCCACCACTGCCATGGAGAGATGATATTCGGGGAAGAACAAAAAAAAAAAGACAAACAGCACGAAGAGATGAAGGAATGCCTTAGATGCTGTATCATGCCCCGGTTCCTACTCACTGCCCTTTGCCCGACATTCACGCATTCACAACCTCGTCCACTGTCCAGTCCTCATCACCCTCCCTTCACCCACACATGCAACATCCCTCCCTCCCCCACACCGCCACCTTCACTCCACACACTCACATTCAATCCCCTTCTGGCGAGCCCTCCAGTAGCTCTCCTGGACGACAGTCTCCAGCCAAGTGCAAGGGTTGAATGCCCCACAGCAAAGCCCCATCTTCTTTGCCTCCAGCTTGGACAGATCAAGCACGCGGTTCACCAGCCGCACTGTGTCTTCCGAGTCCCGATACCCTCGCCTGCCCCACATCCGCTAGTTGAGCCCCGCTCAGCCCCATCTCAGCCAGAGCGTCCAGCAACCGTTCACTCCCCACCCACCCACACACTCACTCACATTCAATCCCCTTCTGGCGAGCCCTCCAATAGCTCTCCTGGACAACAGTCTCCAGCCAGGTGCGCGGGTTGAAGGGCCCACAACAAAGCCCCATCTTCTTTGCTTCCAGCTTGGACAGGTCGAGCACGCGGTTCACCAGCCGCACTGTGTCTTCCGAGTCCCGATACCCTCGCCTGCCCCACATCCGCTAGTTGAGCCCCGCTCAGCCCCATGTCAGCCAGGGCGTCCAGCAACCGTTCACTCACCAAACACCCACCCACACACACACTCACTCACATTCAATCCCCTTCTGGCGAGCCCGCCAGTAGCTCTCCCGGACGACAGTCTCCAGCCAGGTGCGGGGGTTGAATGCCCCACAGCACAGCCCCATCTTCTTTGCGTCCAGCTTGGACAGGTCGAGCACGCGGTTCACCAGCCGCACCGTGTCTTCCGCCGACGCCCTCGCCTGCCCCACATCCGCCAGCTGAGCCCCGCTCAGCCCCATGTCTGCCAGGGCGTCTAATAAACCCATGATGCCGATCATGGGCGTGCGCAGCTCGTGAGACATGGACGCCACAAACACACTCTTGGACCGCTCTGCTGCCCGCGCGTTCGCTCGAAGGCGGTCGGCCTCTGCTATTCCGTCTTGGCTTCGCTGGTAGCCCACTCGCTGCTGCCAGGCCACGGCTGCTACTAGGGCTGTGAGTATGAGGGCGAGGAGGGCCCAGAGGAAGGGCACTCCCCACGATTGCCATGCGTCTGGAGGCTCAGAGAACCTGGTGGTGGGGACGGGGCAGTGGAGGGGAGTGGAGAAGAGTTGAGTTGAGAGTCCAGCAACCCCATGATGCCGATCATGGGCGTGCGCAGCTCGTGAGACATGGACGCCACGAACACACTCTTGGACCGCTCCGCTGTTCTTGCGTTGGCCCGGAGGCGGTCGGCCTCTGCTATTCCCTCTTGGCTGCGCTGCTCTGTGCTGCTACTAGGGCTGTCAGGATGAGGGCGAGGTGAGCCCAGAGGAATGGCACACCCCACGATTGCCATGCGTCGGGAGGCTCCGAATACCTGGAGGTGGGGAGTGGAGGGGAGTTCGGTTGAAAGCCAGCAACCCCATGATGCCAATCATGGGCGTGCGCAGCTCGTGAGACATGGACGCCACGAACACACTCTTGGACCGCTCCGCTGCTCGTGCATTGGCCCGGAGGCGATCGGCCTCTGCTATTCCTTCTTGGCTGCGCTGGTACCCCATGCGCTGCTGCCATGCCACAGCTGCTACTAGGGCTGTCAGGATGAGGGCGAGGAGAGCCCAGAGGAATGGCACACCCCACGATTGCCATGCGTCGGGAGGCTCCGAATACCTGGAGGTGGGGAGTGGAGGGGAGTTCGGTTGAAAGCCAGCAACCCCATGATGCCAATCATGGGCGTGCGCAGCTCGTGAGACATGGACGCCACGAACACACTCTTGGACCGCTCCGCTGCTCGTGCATTGGCCCGGAGGCGATCGGCCTCTGCTATTCCTTCTTGGCTACGCTGGTAGCCGACGCGCTGCTGCCATGCGACTGCAGCTACGAGGGTTGTGAGGATGAGAGCTAGGAGAGCCCAGAGGAAGGGCACGCCCCACGATTGCCATGCATCGGGAGACCCAGAGTACCTGAGGGTGGGTGATAGGGGCGGTTGAGGGTATTGGAAGAAGGACAGTTCGTGAGGTGTGAGCAGGAGGGCGAGGAGAGCCCAGAGGAAGGGCACGCCCCATGATTGCCATGCATCGGGTGGCTCATAGTACCTGGTGGTGGGCGATAGGGGCGGTAGTGCAACATTGAAAGCCCAGAAGAATGGCAAGTGCTTGCTACCGGCAAGTTCTTTGCTCCGGCACTTGTGCAGGCGGCGCCGCACTCACCGGACCCAAACCCCCCACCCGCACCCAACCGCACCCCTCAGCACCGCACTCACCGGCACCAGACCTGGTACTGGCGCAAGCGGCCACCCAGAAGGTCAAGCGGCACGACAGAGCGCTGCTCCCAGGGGCGCGTGACGTTGTCGGGTGAAGGGGCAGTGAAGGGCGCGATGTCCCTCTCCTTGTAAAAGATGAGCCTTGGACCCGGCCCGTAGATCATGGTGGGGGCACTGGGGTCTGTTGTGTCGTACGCCTCAAAGGTTATGGACGGGTCTGCAGAGCGGTGGTGAGGGGTTCAGAATGGTGAGAAGGGGTGATGAGGGTTTTACAGTGGTGATGAGGGGCAGTGAAGGGCGCGATGTCCCTCTCCTTGTAGAAGATGAGCCTTGGGCCCGGCCCGTAAATCATGGTCAATGCGCTGGGGTCTGTGGTGTCGTACGCCTCAAATGTGATCGAGGGGTCTGCAGAGTGGTGATGAGGGGTTGAGCATGGGAATTATGGGTTTAAAATGATAATGAGGGGTAGTGAAGGTTGATGTCCTTTTTCTTGTAGAAGATGAGCCTCGGCCCCCCGGCCTATGGAACATGGTGGGCGAGCTGGGATCTGCCATCATGTGCCTCAAACTTGATCAAGGGGTCTGCGATCAATAACGTCCCAAGCAATCTGCTTGCAATGCAAAACCGGAGACACAGACGGCTACATACAGAGCTGGAACCCTTATGCAGCACCTTGTGCTGCAGTACCTCGGCTGGGCAAAACACCTTGGTGAGCGTGTTCTTGACGATGGAGGGGAGGTCCACAACCGACCCTTGAGATGCCTCCAACGGCGACTTTCAAGGCTCTGAAAATGACTTCTACGGTGCCTCAGACGAACTGTTAGGTACCTGGCTGAACACCTTGGTGAGCACGTTCCTAGCAATGGTGGTGAGGTCCACAACCGACCCTTGAGGCACCTCAACAAGCGCGCATGAACACGAGGCATTTTCTGCTGCGTGCTTACCTGGGCTGAACACCTTGGTCAGCACGTTCCTAGCAATGGTGGTGAGGTCCAGAACCGACCCTGCCGCCCCAATCACCGTCTCCTCTGCCTGCTGCTCCGTTGGTTTTGGTGGGAGGGGGTGCTGCAAGATGGGGAATCCCACCGCTGGCATGGGTAAGGACGACAAGGAGGGATGCGGGGAGAGGGTGCAAGCAGAGCAGGAGGCAATGGGAGATGAATGAGCGGGAAACGAGTTTCGCTAAAGCACGATGAAGAAAGGAAGCGGTGATTCGTAAAAAAGAAAGTCCACAATCACGGTTCACCAACACCGGTGCAGACATACTTGAGCGCGACGGGTACTGAGTGTCATTTTTGTATTATGACCTACACGGGAGCATGGTGTTCGATCTGCTTCAGCGACAGCAGGTTGACATTTCTGGGCTGCATGAAGAATGTCAACCTGCTGGCGCTGAAGCAGGTCGAACACCATGCTCCTGTATAGATCATAAGATGAAAATGACACGCTGCACCCATCGCGCTCAAGTATGTTTGAAGCGATCCAACACCGACTCATATCACGCATCCACAACTCACCAACACTGATGAGAATGTCGGTAAGCTTTCCAACGGGCGTCACATCGCTGTACCCAATCTCCCCATCACACCTGAAATAGACTCTTGAGACGTCCCAAGACTCACCAACACCTGTGAGGTTGTAGCTAAGGTTTCCGACAGGCGTTACAACGCCATACCCAACCTCCGCGGTGCGTCGGAGGAAGGCGAGCTCATCGGGGATGCGCTGAACGAGGTCGACGAGGGGGATGGAGGAGCGGTAGTAGTGCAGATCGATCATCTTGGGGCAATAGAGCGGCTGCCGCTGCTGCGGCTGCCCTGCCATGTCCGTGATCGGCCCGCCGTACTGCCTCTCAAAGGCAGGCCTGCAGAGGGAAGGAAGGGCGTGTATATGAGAGGCACACGCACGTGGAAAGGTAGGCATCGTTAGTCAAGAATCGAGAGAAACACATAGTTAAACCCTCCCCTCTCAACCTCCCACCCACCTACCCACCACTCCTTATTGGTGACAAGTGGCAGAGCATCGAACCGGGCGAGAATACCCTGTCCCGCCGCAGACAAATAGACACACGACACACCCAGCCATACCCACCAACCATCCCACCCACCCACCAACCATCCCACCCACTTATTAACCAACCATCCCACCCACCCACCCACCCAACCATCCTCTCACCCAACCGCTTATCCACGCACCGTTCCTTGTCCGTGACAAAGAGGCAGAGCATGGCGCCCGTGTTGCCCGGACGGGCATACCCCGTCTCGTTGATGTACTCGTCCCACCGCAGGCGAGTGAAGCACTTGTCCCACGTCCACTTGCCGCCGTCCCTCTTCGGCTTGCCCATCACCGCCACCAGCCCCGCGAAAGTCTGCCAGGGATGGGAAAAAGACGTTCGCACAGAGAGTTTTGTACCTTTGGTAGCTCCCCAGCCTTTATCATGCAACACCTTAGCGGGATAGTTCCAAGACAGCGAATTTTGGTAATTGTGAGAGGATTAAAAGTCAACCCATTGCCGGAAACAGTTAGCTGCTGATCCGGATCGCACTGATGACTCAGAAAAAGCAGCATCGCATATTCTGCCGCAAGAACCCGCACCACACTGCACGGTCCGGAACTCGGGGGGGGTCTGGCTCACTGTGGTGACACCTGCTGCATCAACAATTCTGGAAATCCCGCGAAACTCACCCAATTTTCAAGGCGTCTACTAGAATTTTCTGGGGCGCCTCAAGACTGCGATTCCGCTGACTGTGGTGACCACGTGCTCGCGTAGATCTGTTGTGCGGGTTTTCCATCCAATCCAACCATCGCACGACCTCTGCGGAACTCACGCGGATCTGGCTGACGGTGGTGATGAGTGCCTGCTGCTTCCCGTCCATCCGTCCGTCAATGTGGACTTACTCGGATCTGGCTGACGGTGAGTGCGGTTCTGTGGAGCTCCAACCAACCAACCCATTGCACGGCCGGGACTTACTCGGATCTGGCTGACGGTGGTGAGCGCTTGCTGCTCGAAGAGCTTGGCGCGCTCGTAGCACCACGTGTCGAGGTGCTGCCATCGCTCGCTCTCGTACGCCGCGTGCCGCGAGTAGCACAGCCACGCCGCCATCGACACGCCCGCCAGCACCCATGCCGCCAGCAGAACCGCGAAGATGCGGCCTGCAGTGAGGAGGGGAGCAGTAGGTGGGGAGGAACTAAGGGTTAAATTCTACGTTATGATACGACGCGTGCCGCGCGTAGCACAGCCACGCCGCCATGGACACCCCCGCCAGGGGACCTGGCGCGGGGAGGCGCGTTCTAAACGCACTATTACTGTCTGACGGAAAAGGAAAAGGAGAAACCTGAATGACATTGTCAGCAGTCATGCCGCTACGAGAACAGCGAAGATGGGTCCTGCCGCGGGTTCCGCAAATCAGTGATGGAAATTGCATGTTGACGCTCAGACGGATCATGAGCCTCACGGGCTGAGGCGAATCCTGGCGTACATCATGACCGCGGCTCTTGAAAGCTGTTGCATCCGAAACTCATTCGGACACCATAAAACCACCGAATACTGATAACGAGACACGTTGTGGCCACAAATGCGTGTACGTGACAGGCGTTGGCGAAAGCACACTTCAGCTATTTTGGGCGAGCCGTGCGCGACTCTGGGCTGCTACACTCTACTGTCTGGATCGTGAGCGGGGTTTGAAACCCTAAACTTCCGCTACGCCGTCGTAGTAGTGCATACTATACACGTCGACACGTTAAACTGCTAGCGTACCTCGAAAGACCACCTCCTGAATGGCTGTCTTGCTGCTCGAGCGCATTTCTAAAGCCATGTCGTAGGATATTTGCTATTTTCATAAGGCACCAAGACGCATCTTAGGGGACTGCTACTCTTCGATTTCAGCATAACCTCGATGAAAGAATGGCTGACATTCACGCTAGCGTGCCAGAGACCTAACTCCATAGCCTTTCTGATCAAACCGTTGTGGAAATGAATGAGCTGTGCACCTGTGGAAACAGTTTAGAGCGTGTTACGTACCCCTTATTTTGGTGTTAGGCCCCGGTTGCCTCCAAAAGTCGACTCAACCTGACTGGTCGGGTCGACCGGGCAGTAAATCTGACCGGTTGGGTACCAAGCACGCAACCAGCAAATGTACCACCTGTCTGTTTTTGGGACCCGACCATGCAAATAGTATTTCGGGTAGACCTAGTGGTCATTGCATCAATATTACTGGCCAACCTTCAATGGAAAAGTTTCTACACCAGTCATATCGAGTCTCTCTAGTGCGACCTGCCCGCAAAGTTTTTGTTAACCCCTGGTTGCCCACCTGGTTGGTACGTTGGGGCTTGGTTGCCTCGACCTGGTTGTATGTGGACGCGACCAGCCGGTTGGTTGACTGCATGGTCGCCTCGACCAAGTGTGCGCATGCCTTGGTACCTTTACTGTACACTGTACACTCTCGGGAATCTGGTAACCCTACGTTCAACCCAACCTGACCATTCGAGGCACCGCGACCAGGCCCCAAAATAAGGGGTACGTAACACGCTCTTAGGGCAACGAAGGAAGCCTTGCCAGTCACTCCAGCAATTTTGCGAGGCAGGAACAATGGGGTGGATAGCTTCTGACATCCATCTGTGAGGGAATGACGGAGCGCCCTGGTTTCGGGTTTCCGATTCCTTTGGGCAGTGGTTTTGACAGCGCCTCGCTTCGCGCTCGCGTCCGATACCTTCGGTCAGTAAATTACGCTATTTTCCCATTTGGAGTCCAGAAACTACAACTTTGTTTTATTTAATGGGACAAAAAATATAAAACCCTCACGGGGGACGCCGTCAGGGAGGCATCAACCCTAAACACCATGAGGCAAGGTGTTTAGGGTTGATGCCTCCCTAATGGCCAGCCCTCCGAAAGGGGTTTATTTTTTTTCACTGGCCACTAGACTAATACCAGGTAAACTTAATAATTTTTCTGGTCACCGGAAACTGGAAATGTCGAAATCAGCTGCCCCAAGGAATCGGACGCGAGCGGAAAAGCGAGGCGGTGTCAAAGCCACTGCCCAAAGGAATCGGAAATCCGAAACCGGGGCGGTTCGTCATCTCCTCTCCATCTGTGAAGCCTTGGAAGGAGCTCGCATATCGCATCTGCAGTGAGATCGTGAAGCTCGTTGCATCCATACTGTTCTAAAGCAGAATGTTGAAACGCACCGCAGTCACCAAAAGCAACCAGCAGAGCAAGCCGTTTGAAACTGTGAAGAGGAGCCAAAACGCACCGCAATCACCCAGCCCAAACTGCACTAGCGTGTCTTCGAAAATATCCAGCGATATCCACCCGACGTGCATGCCTCATCCGACTGGCATCAGTGGCGGATGTTGACGGATGATGGATGGATGAGGGGTGGATGTCGGAGCACTCGACTTCGGTCGGGCACCAGTGTTCAAGCATGTGCGCAGCGGTACAAAGTGGTGGAAACAACGAACCGTTTCAGAGCGCACAGCATCGTACTCAAGAGCTTCAACCGAGCAACCGTGCAGCGACCCCCGCGCTTGGGTGACTGGACTGGGGGGCAAAACCTCGTGCGGAATGATTTGGGCCTGAGGCCATTCCACTCGCATTCTGGAAGTGGAGCGGAAGGACGGCTGACAAATTTGTGTACACCCAATTTTGCGCTAGAATATTTTCTAGTTGTATTTATAATACAGATTGTAGAACCTCACCAATCTCCTTGTTCGAAACGAATTATTGGTAAAGAAACCAGCCCCCAAGACCAGGCCCCAACGAATTAGCTCGGGATGTAGTGTGGGCCAGGCACAGCGAGATAGGTATGTTTCGCCAGAATTAGTGCGAAGCTCTTGCCTGTATTTGGTAAGCCGAGTAACCCCCTCTTCATGTCGCCTAGACACCAAGGCTGTTTCTTCGCTGGAATATGCCTCTCACATTTGGCGAAGTAGAAATTGCCAGCACGTTCCCCGAAATAGATGTGGATGGCCACGGGGAAGGGCGCGGCTCGGGCGCTCGACCTACCTGGACCCACCCCCACCAAAATGCCCGAGGCGAAATGAAAAACTACGACCCAGCTGGACCCGGTGCTTGGCCGTTTTATCTATTTCCAGATAGATAATTGGCGAAGGGTAACCAGTTCGCCAGCCTTTTTCCCAGCGTGAACAGTTGACGGGGAAGACGGTTACCGCATCGCCGGGCGTGAAAAAAGAAGACCAAGCGTTACATCGCAAGCGGCTGACGACAGCCGCGCGATACAGTGTAGTGTAGTTGATTGTTGAAATTCTGTCAGTCTGTATAATTGTTTCCATAGTTTTCTTTCCAATGCAATGTTGTATTAGTGAATTGTGTGAATGATGGGGTGGTTTTAAGGGGGGTTTTTTATGTTTGAAATGGACAAAGCATGTCTTCAGGTATCTATTCAATGCCGTTTCAGTGTTTTTTTTTTCATGGATGGCCATACAAATGCCTGAATTATGGAGCTCAAAATGGTCATTTTAAGGGGGTTTTATGGACTTTTTGTTGGTTTTAAATGGGTTTTTTTTTTTTATTCTGTCTCCTCTAGTACTGCTCTACTTGTTTTTTTTTTTTTTTTTTTTGAAAGTTTGCAAATGTTGCACTTTTTGGTTCATATTAGCCAACTCAAGTATGTCAGTAGTACATGCTAGGTCATTCTTTGGCAATCATCAAGTCAACATTGTTTTTTCTTATTTGTTATTTCATGGCATTCAATGCAATGTTAGGCTTTGAATGCCCTGCCCATCACACATGCCATTGTCAAACATTGTATGTTTATATTGTGTAGGCTATAGTGGGTTTAGCCTTAGAGGGTACACAAACTTAGGGTTTCATACTTGTACCCACCTTCCTGCTAGTTCATCCATTCTCGTTCTATTCTAGATTCTGACATGGTATCAGAAGCCTAGGTTGCTACCTAGGACCGCTTTCTACAATGGGCCCACTATTCCGCTAGGCGCGCCCTCGTGCGCCCTACCTTACGTGCGCCCTCGTGCGCCCTACCTTACGTGCGCCCTCGTGCGCTCTACCTTACGTGCGCCCTCGTGCGCCCTCGTGCGCCCTCGTGCGCCTTTCTCTGCTAGTGCGCCCTCGTGCACCCTCGTGCGCCCTCGTGCGCCCTCGTGCGCCCTCGTACGCCCTCGTGCGCCCTCGTGCGCTCTCGAGCTGCCCCTGCAGGTCCGTCAGGCCCCCGAGCCGCCGCTGCAGGCCCGTCAGGCCCGAGAGCCGCCCCTGCACACCCGTCAGGCCCGCGCGCAGCCTCTGCACGACCGCGCGCCGCCCCTGCAGGCTCTCGCCGCCCGCCGCGTCGCCCTGCCCGTGGCGTCGCCGCCTCCCCGCGGCGTCGTTGCCTGCCCGCGACGTAGCCCCTGTCCGCGGCGTCGTCGCCTGCCCGCGGCGTCGTCGCCTGCCCGCGGCGTCGCCGCCTGCCCGCGACGTCGTCGCCTGCCCGCGGCGTCGTCGCCTGCCCGCGGCGTCGCCGCCTGCCCGCGGCGTCGTCGCCTACCCGCGGCGTCGCCACCTGCCCGCGGAGTCGTCGTCCACTGCCCGCGGCGTCGGCGCCTGCCCGCGGCGTCGTCGCCTACCCGCGGCGTCGCCACCTGCTAGCGGCGTCGCCCTACTCGCGGCGTCGCCACCTGCCCGCCGCGTCGCCCTGCCCGCGGCGTCGCCACCTGCCCGCCGCGTCGCCCTGCCCGCGGCGTCGCCACCTGCCCGCCGCGTCGCCCTGACCTAATCCGCCTCTCGCCCCTGGAGCAGCCGCCACTGCAGCAGCAGCCCCTGGAGCAGCCGCCACTGCAGCAGCAGCCCCTGGAGCCGCCCGCCACTGCAGCAGCAGCCCCTGGAGCCGCTCGCCACTGCAGCAGCCGCCCCTGGAGCCGCCCGTCACTGCAGCAGCCCCCTCTGGAGCAGCACGCACCTGCAGCAGCCGCCCCTGGAACAGCCCGCACCTGCAGCAGCCGCCCCTGGAGCAGCCCGCACCTGCAGCAGCCGCCCCTGGCACCTGGAGCAGCTGCCGTCGCGGCCCAGCCTCGCCCTGCCGCAGCTGCCGCGGAGCTCCCTGCTGCGGCCCGGCCCAGCCCTGCAGTTGTAGCAACCCCACTGTCGCCACCGTCTTACGCCTGCCGCGCCGACCACTGGTGAGCATTGCCCAGTACTGCTGCAACTGCCTTTTCTACTCCCACTGCCACTGCTCCTGCTGTTACTACTGTTACTGCCGCTACTGCTACTACTGCTGCTCCTGACGTGGCCAGATGCAGCTCCAGGGCTGTGCGCGTGAGTCCCCCACGCCCCAGCAGCTTCGTGCGCGTGAGTGGTACGCTAGTCGGGGCTGTCGGGGTGGCCGTAGTGGTAGTCGCTCTGGAGTGGGTCGGTCGGGAGCTTCTGGTAGTGGACAGGTGCAGCAGCCGTGTCCTCCTTCGCCCCAGCTGCTTCGTGCGCGTGAGTGGTACGCTAGTTTGGGCTGTCGGAGTGGCCGTAGTGGTAGTCGCTCTGGAGTGCATCGGTCGGGAGCTTCTGGTAGTGGACAGGTGCAGCAGCCGTGTCCTCCTTCGCCCCAGCTGCTTCGTGCGCGTGAGTGGTACGCTAGTTTGGGCTGTCGGAGTGACCGTAGTGGTAGTCGCTCTGGAGTGCATCGGTCGGGAGCTTCTGGTAGTGGACAGGTGCAGCAGCCGTGTCCTCCTTCGCCCCAGCTGCTTCGTGCGCGTGAGTGGTACGCTAGTTTGGGCTGTCGGAGTGGCCGTAGTGGTAGTCGCTCTGGAGTGCATCGTTCGGGAGCTTCTGGTAGTGGACAGGTGCAGCTGCCGTGTCCTGTCAGTGAGGCTGCCGCTCTAGGTGCTAGTACGTCTATTGCCCTAGGTGCTGGTG